TAAAATTTATTTGTTGTTGTAGTCCTTTCCCGTTGGTTTTCTATGATTGTTCTATCATACATCAGAAATCACAAAAACAAACGTCACAACTTCGCCACGATTACGCCGAAAAGTTCAGACCCAACTTTTTGCCGTAGCGGCAGCGTAATATCAAAAATTCAAGATGGTGCACTGCCGCCAATAAAATCGTACAAATTAAATCATGTGATTAGTTACGCTTACGTTAATTACGCCCTTGGGGACTCACCCTGATAGAGTCCAAAGCCTTTTCATAATCTACGACGGCTATTGATATAGGGATGTTGTATTCGGTGCTTTTCTCTATGAGTGTGTGGATCGCCTGAAGGTAGTCTGCAGTACTGTATCCACTTCTGAACCCTGTCTGCTCTGGGGGTTGATAGAAATCAAACTTGTTTGTTAGGCGGTTTGTAAACACTTTTGTGAATAATTTGTGGAAGCGGGATAAAAGACTGATAGAGCGATAATTTTCAAGTTTTGTCTTATCTCCTTTTTTATGGATGAGGGTGATTTTTGCATTTTGCCATAACTGTGGTATTCTTTGTTCAGCAATGCACCCATTAAAGATTTCCCTTATTCTCTTCAGTAGAGATTCTCCGCCATATTTAAACATTTCCGTTGTCAATCTATCCTCTCCAGGTGTCTTGTTGGTTTTCATTTGAGACAAGGCCTTTATTTCGCCGATGTCTACTTCGGGAATTTTCTCAGAACCCACGTAAGTGACTGGAGGTCTAGAGGGTTGATTGATTGATGGTTTTCTGTACAGTGTTGTGTAGAATTGTACAGTGTTGTGTGCTGCTTTCTCTCGCTAGTTTCTGCATAGCCTTTGCGCTTGTTCTCCACCCTCTGAGTCTTCCCTCCCCTGTTCGTTTGGGTTCCGCTTGGAGCGTATAGGTTATGGTGCGGTGGTCACTTAGGTTTTCCGGTACGATTTTGACTTTTCCAGTCATGAATGGTTCGTCGTTGTAGAACCAAGAGCCATTGTCTTGGGGTTTAGGTCGCCCCCTATGATAATTCCTTTGTCTGTTCGCCTTGTACTTGTTTCTATCCGGTTGAGTAATCTCTCAAAAGCTTGGATCTCGCCGTTTGGCGAGAAGTAGCAGGATATCCACCGCTGTTTTCTCCACAAACACATCCCCGATCACCAGTGGTAGTTTATCACAGTTATGTTTCCAACGTCTACAAAGCTATCACATAGTTAGTATCACAGATTACGTCACTAATTCCTTTTCTATTTGGTTCCTGCCCCAATATTACGTCAATTTCGCACTCTCTAAATCTTTGGTTCTTTAAGTCGTGTACAGCTGCACACCTGTCGAGGTTTATATGCATACATTTTATTGATAGTTCTCTTCCCAGAGTCCTGCCGTGTCCTTTTCTGCCTTCCTTTCTTTAGGGAAATAGCTTTATTGTGTGTCTACTAACAGAAAATCAACTTTCAGAGGATGAGTCAGATAAGTGAGATGTCGATTCCGAAACCATTTTCCGGACGAATAACGAAGAATCTTCAATTTCATAAATTACTTGAAAGTTATGTTTTGCAATATTAATGTGTTTCTAATTTGTCTCGTACGCCTGTATGAGTGTATGCTTAGGAATCAGTAACTAGGTTGGTACTGTAAAGATGGATTATGAAAAAAAAAATACCGGCCTAGTCCAGTATATTTTGTTTTACGGACTCTATACTATACACTATACTATAAAATTTTATTTTCTGGTCTAAAAGGTGTGTTCTACCATACAGTATGATGAAATAGAATAAATGAATTATTCAATAATGTATGAATAATTATAGACCACAAATGTGCCTTTGCAAATAATGATACTTTCAACAGAAACACCAAAAGTAATACCAATCATTTTATTTCGTTTTTGTCTCTTATATTTCAAGGAAGCAGGAAGCAGGCGCATCCGTCTTGGAAATCAGAGAAACTTCTAGAGCAATGATATTACATTTTCAAAGGGGTGTCTCATAAAGTATTTGAATTTTCAAGACATGAAGTCATTTCAAGCCAAAATAAATCCGGACGTTATGGATGTAATAGCTATGTAAGCAATGGAAGAAATTTCTGAATTTTTGACAGCATTGACATTTTATCCATGTGGAATAGTTATTTATGTATCAAGGGAATTATGAGGGTGTTAATACCCCAGGGCAACGTTTGTGTTGCCCGTGGGTATTAACACCTGATAATTCCCGTGGTACATAGATAATTTTATACCCCACTGAATTTACTGTATTCTGTCTATTTTTATAAAGGAATAAACCATAAACCAAAATTTCAATTTTTTCTCAAAGTTTTACCTATTCAAGGTAAAAGCGGGAGTTATAGAAATCCTTAACTCCCTTGGGAGTTATGATATCCTTAACTCCCGCGCGGGAGTTATGAAATCCTTAACTCCCTTGGGAGTTAAGATCCTGTTTATGACTATCGTAACCCAGGTATTATATGATTATAATAGTACAGTAGGATATAAAATTATAAGTGTGACTATTTCACTAGAGTGTATTTCGCCGGCAATAAATTCGGTATTCAGCGGACAATATTGCTACCTGGACATTACCAACAACATGGGTATTTCAGCGACCATTTTTTGACATTGTCAAACTGATATTTTTAATTTGATGTTTTTATTCATATTTTTGCATTCTATTTATTTTCAAAATCTTACGTGAAATAGTCATGACAAATACCACTCGCCTAACGGCTCGTGATTTTGTCAAAAATGTCATTCGCGAAATTGCCAAGCAATAAAGTTTCATAACTTTCGAAAATTTTGCCGACAAAATTTTTTCTCTTGTGATATTATATATGATTATTTCACTAGAGTGCTTTACACTGGCAAAGTGTCATATGAACGGCCGGTTTCCTACTGACAAAACTCCTACCTGTTCCTACCTGGACAAAACCAACATGATGGTTTTTCAGCGACAAAATTTTGTGTGGTTAGAGCAAAAAACTAGTGAGTTTGACAAGTGTCACCAAAAGAAAATAAATTTTCCTATTAAAATTTGGCTTGTTTTTCTCGTGAAATAGTCCAGCCGAATACCACTCAAGAAAAAATTATGTAGCTAAAATTATTCTCTTGGTTTTATTCAAGTTTGTTGCTTTTTGGTAATTTCGCTCAACTCAACATTAAACACAGTCAGAAATGTCATTCGCGAAATTGCCAAGCCGAAGCGAAGCCAAGCCAATTCAATAAGCAAAACTTTCATACCAGTCGAAAATTTTGTCAACAAAATTTATTCTCTTGTGGTATTATATATGAAAATTTTTTGACAGTTCTACCAGCCAGTAAAATTTTGTTATTTACTGTCATGTGACACAAATCACCAAATCATGTCAAAATTATAATGAAAACAGCCCTAGGGCTATGATATTGCCTCGGACATTGCTGTCAAAAAAATTTCTATCCGAAGCGGATAATAATTTTACGGTTAAGATAAACCCGCGAACGACAACGCGGAACTTAAAAGTGAGTAGGTATACTTATTGGGTCGGTGGTGCAAAAAAACTACTTCCGTCACTAGAAGCTTCAATAGGAAATTGAAATTATGTAGGGAAAAAAAAGTTGGCTCAGAAGAAAAAAATCTGGAAATTATCTAACATTTTTAGAGTGAAGAAAGTTTAGATAATTACAAGTTCACAGGCCTAAATTCGACTTCTAGACTACCGACTAAAAATTATAGAGTCGGCACAACTCATGGACAGCAATTTTTACAATTCTAGCCTCATGAATCGCAAATACGCCTCCTCTCAGGCATTTTCCAGTTTATGTGAAAACTACATCAATTTAAATTTAGTATCCTTTCTCAAATTATAGTTACCTATTTGAAAAGAAAATTAAAATTTATATTGTTTTGTAGTGCCATTCACAAGAAATATTTTTTCATAAACACTTTCCCCCCTTTATTTCTCGCCTGGATGCCTTTTCCTTGTCGAAAATTCATGACGGTTTTTTTACCTTTTCAATAAAACTACACTTATCTGTCAGTCTCCCTCCAGGATGAATAATGTTCCGCACTTACGTACTTTTGTCCGTGTGTATTATGTTCCGCCGCCCATCCAGGGCGGCTCGGCTGGCTGCTGTCTCATTTTCCAGTTTGCCGCGTTCACGGTTCCCGAGTTTCACCATTGTCTGACGATTATTTACATAAAACAGACGCAGCGAGCTATTTCATGTTTATTTATTGAATTTTGTCCCAATTTCGAGCCTTATTTCCGCAAGCTTTCTCATTCCGGAGGTTTTGGTTTAACTCCATTGTCTTTATTAATTTAATTTCTATTCTGTATGCCGATAGGTTATCAAATTTATTAATCGGCATTCAAAAGTAGTCAGAGTTGTATATTGTAATTTTTCAAGAGCCAAGAGCTTAACGTAAAAGTAAATTCAAGAGAGTTGGAATTTATTCTGCCTATACCTTCTTAAAATTCTAAGCCGGAAGTTAAAACTCTATTTTAAGCGAGGTGCTCCTTTTCCTTAATTCTTAAAAGGTTGTGCAGTCAAGAAAAGCTTTTGTTGTGCTTCTTAATTGCACTATAAATAAACTTGACACCTTACCCAAGAACAAATTTAACCTTTTTTTGTATTATGAGTTTTGTCTCTACTTATAAAAGTTTTATTCGTACAAATAACTTAACAATAATTTTTATATTAGGTTATATCAAATAACTCAAATAATGCAAGATAAATAGAATGGGGAACCCTATTCTATCCAGGGTAATCTTTTAATATGGCGCAGTATTCCCAAAGACGTAATTTATCCTTGGTGTAGGTTAGGCTTTCGAGTTTTAGGTCAGCTTTAATGTTAAATCGATAAAAGCCCGTGCACTCCAATGTTTAGCTCAAAAATGTCTGGACTAGTTTGGGGACAAAATGGAATTTCTAAATTTTGAAATGTATTCACGGTGGATTATTTCTATGAATGCGAAATATGTAATAACAAAACATAATAAAATATTGTTAATTTTTTTCTTTAGGAACGACTGCAAATTCAATTGGACGAACAATCCCAAAGGTACGAAGAACAACTTACCGAACTACATTCTGTGATAGCTGAACTTACTAGAAAACTTCATCAGCAAAGAACGATGGCAATAACCGAAGAAGATGAAATATCAGGTATATTTATCAGAAAAACTTTTTAAATTTACGAAACACATTGTTAAAGTGAGCAAGTTAGCGCATAACGGGACGAGAGAACCGCAAAAGTTTGTCAGAAATGAATGCTAAGGGTAGTAATATACAAACCAAACAAAATTAAAAATCGGCATAACACAGTTTAATAAGTTCGATATTTGAAAGACACTCACTTGATGCATAGTTTAAATACACAATGCACAATTTCCGGTGTTTAAGCATTTTTTTTTTATTGCGTAATATTAATCTACATCAATTTTTAGAAAACCCGTGTTTTTTTATTTTGTTCAAAAGTTATCACTAACTTTAAAAAAAAATTATTAAAATTCCTAATTTGAATTTCACTGTAAAGGAGCGCGTGACGTAATCGCCCGCAAGAGGCGTAGTACCACACAATTCCACGAGATGGCGCACTATCTTTTATAAAGTATACAGTTTACTGTAGCATTTCGCATCTGTTCAGTCACTGTAAATCACGCCATCGTCAAGCTGGAACTTTTGGACTGTTGGGAAGTCTATGAACATGTGAAAGTGTTTGGAAGAAGTCCAGAGAGGCCAGGAAAGGACTGGATAAGGTCTGGAGCAGTCTGCACAAGTCTGGACTAGTCTGGATAAATCTGGATAGAGTCTGAAAAAGTCTGGAAAATGTCTGGAAAAGTCTGGAAATCTCTGGAAACGTCTGGAAAGAGCCTGGAAATTCCTGGAAAGGATTGGAAAAATTCTGCCAAAGGTCCCAAAAGACCTGGGGATCATTTTCTAGAATCCGGATCAGTCTGTACAAGTCTGGATAAGGTCTGGATAAATCTGGATAATGTCTGTAAAAGTCTGGAAATCTCTGGAAACGTCTGGAAAAGACTTGGAAATTTCTGGAAAGGGTCGGAAAAATTCTGGAAAAGGTCCCAATAAACCTGGGGATCATTTTCTAGAATCAGGATCAGTCTGAACAAGTCTGGATAAAGTCTGGATAAATCTGGATGACGCCTGGAAAACTCTGGATAAGTCTGGATAATGTCTGGGGAAGTCTGGAAACGTCTGGAAAAGGCCTGGAAGCTTCTTGAAATGGTTGGAAAAATTCTGGAAAAGGTCCCAAAAGACATGGGGATCATATTCTAGAATTCGGAGCAGTCTGTACAAGTCTGGATAAGGGCTGGATGAATCTGGATGAAGTCTGTAAAACTTTGGATAAGTCTGGATATTGTCTGGAAAAGACTGGAAATCTCTGGAAACGTCTGGAAAAGGCTTGGAAATTTCTGGAAAGAGTCGGAAAAATTCTGGAATAGGTCCCAATAGACCTGGGGATCATTTTATAGAATCCGGATCAGTCTGAACAAGTCTGTATAAATCTGGATGAAGTCTGGAAAACTCTGGAAAGCTCTGGATAAGTCTGGATACTGACTGGAAAAGTCTGGAAACGTCTGGAAAAGGCCTGGAAACTTCTTGAAAGGGTCGGAAAAGTTCTGGAAAAGGTCCTAAAAGACCTGGGGATCATATTCTAGAATTCGGAGCAGTCTGTACAAGTCTGGATAAGGGTTGGATAAATCTGGATAAAGTCTGTAAAACTCTGGATAAGTAAAAAGTCTGGATATTGTCTGGAAAAGTCTGGAAATCTCTGGAAACGTGTGTAAAATTCTTGAAAGGGTCGGAAAAATTCTGGAAAAGGTCCCCGAAAGACCTGGGGATCATTTTCTAGAATCCGGATCAGTCTGAACAAGTCTGGATAGGTCTGAATGAAGTCTGGATAGGTCTGGATAGGTCTGGATGAAGTCTGGAAAACTCTGGATAGCTCTGAATGAGCCTGGATAATGTCTGGAAAAGTCTGCAAATCTCTGGAAACGTCTGGGAAAGGCTTGGAATTAACACGCTTTTATTAGCTTCACCTGTATATAGTTTGTTTGGTTGTTTGTTTGTATGTTTGTAAGTAACTCTCCTTTGGATTAAAAGCAAGTGGCTTATTACTGTTGTATAAAACTACACAACAAATGTTGATAAAATCAAATTATTTTAAAAGCAGTTTTCAAGTATATCCCTCTACCTTAAGTTCGTTCGTTGGCCGAACGGGTCTTCGCTGACGACACCTCCCAGTCTCACCAAACAAAATATATTAGAATTATTGTGAAAAAATCATGGGGTGATCAATGTACGAGAAATGTGGAACAAAGCACTCCACGCTTTTTTCACAAAACTTTAGCGCCAACTGTAAAAATTGATAACTGTAAAAAATGAAGACATTATAACTTAACACATTTTATTATAAGAGCAAAAAAGAACGCATCTACTTATTTTTTATTACATTTTTCAGTTTTTAGTTCGATATATTATTTTGTTCTTCATTTTTTTAATTTGAAGAAAAAACTTTTATTCTAAATTATAACGTATAATAATTATTTCTAATTTGAATAATAATAAATAGTGTAAAACCTTAATATAACCATAAATAAAAAATATATCAACAAAAATAGACCTACAATAAATAAAGAAATAATATAAAATATCAAAAACAATCACAATAAATATAGGTACATAAATGAAAGAATCATCAAATGTCAAAAATCTCGTCCAATCCTTCGTCCTTCTGAATGGTACCCATCACTGAAGCCGCATTACCTCGTTGAATTGCTATGCCGATCCTCTGAGTTAAGAAACTACGTGACTGATTAGTTTTTATTTTTTATTTTATTTATTTATTTATTCTTATTTGTGTTTTGTTTATATTTGGTGGGATTATGGAGATTATGGGAGGAATGGTTGACATTGCTGACATAAAAACACAATCACACCGCAGCCACACCAAAAAATTATGGTGTGACCGGTGCGACACTTGGAGCGCGCCCGAAGTACTTTCTGAACGGCACAGAGTGCGCGCACTCGGTGTGCCTATAGCATTTATGAACGGCTAGTGCGTCGCACCGGTGTCACACTCACATTGAGTGTGTCATTCCTGAATTCGTCCCAGATATTTCCAGACTTTTGCAGACATTATCCAGACTTATTCAGAGCTTTCCATAGTTTTCCAGATTTCATCCAGATTTTTCTAGACTTGTGCAGACTGGGGGGTGCGATTTTCGAAACCATTCGAGTACATTTCGTACACGAAATTTGACTGACAGCAATGTAAATTAAATGGGGAGCAGACAAATTTCGTGTACGAAATGTACTCGAATGGTCTCGAAAATCACACCCCTCATCCGGATTCTGGAAAATGATCCCCAGGTCTATTGGGACCTTTTCCAGATTTTTTCCGACCCTTTCAAGAAGTTTCCAGGCCTTCTCCAGACGTTTCCAGAGATTTCCAAACAATATCCAGACATCCAGAGTTTTACAGACTTCATCCAGAATCATCCAGACCTTATCCAGACTTGTACGGACTGCTCCGGATTCTAAAAAATGATCTCCAGGTCTTCTGGGACCTTTCCAGAATTTTTCCGACCCTTTCAAGAAGTTTCCAGGCCTTTTCCAGACGTTTCCAGAGATTTCCAGACTTTTCCAGACATTATCCAGATTTATACTGATCTTTCCAGAGCTTTCAAGACTTCATCCAGATTTATCCAGACTTATTCAGACTGATCCGGATTCTGGAAAATGATCCCCAGGTCTATTGGGACCTTTTCCAGAATTTTTCCGACCCTTTCCAGAAATTTCCGAGTCTTTTCCAGACGTTTCCAGAGATTTACAGACATTTCCAGACAATATCCACACTTATCCAGAGTTTAACAGACTTTATCCAGATTCATCCAGACCTTATCCAGACTTGTGCAGACTGATCCGGATTTCCAGGCAATATCCAGATTATCCAGAGTTTTCCAGAGTTTTACAGACTTCATCCAGAATCATCCAGACCTTATCCAGACTTGTACACACTGCTCCAGATTCTAGAAAATGATCCCCAGGTCTTTTGGGACCTTTCCAGAATTTTTCTGACCCTTTCAAGAAGTTTCCAGGCCTTTTTCAGAAGTTTCCAGAGATTTCCAGACTTTTCCAGACATTATCCAGACTTATACTGTTCTTTCCAGAGTTTTCCAGACTTCATCCAGATTTATCCAGACTTGTTCAGACTGATCCGGATTCTGGAAAATGATCTTGTAGTGACCTTTGTGTTTTTACTATTGTATTTTTACCTTTATGTTTTTACCTTTGTGTTTTTACCTTTGTGTTTTTATTATTGTTTATTTTTTTGTGTGTAGTTAGCTTTGGTTAGTTGTTAGGCAAGGTTGTGGAGATAAATAATTTCGTTTTTGTTTATTATTATTATTAAAAAGTTATTAACTGAATTGCTCCTAATTCTTCCAGAGAAGTATTTTCTCATTTGAAATATTGTGTTCAGACAACACAATAACTGGTGACCCCGTTTTGAACCATAAATGAAAACAATGAAGCAGTTTTATCAGTAAATATTAAATTACCTAGTTTTTGGGCAAATGACGCAAAGCTATGGTTTGCTCAAGTGGAATCAGTATTTACTACGAAGAGAATTACTGCAGAAAATACAAAATTTCACCATGTCATTGCTGCATTAGATCAAGATACGGTTTTGGAGGTCAGAGACATTATTTTAGATCCTCCACAAGCTAATCCCTTTTCCAAATTAAAAGAAGAATTAATCAAGCGAACTTCAATATCCTTACAGAAAAGGATTAATCAATTAATTGCTTCCGAGGAACTTGGTGATAGAACTCCTTCCCAATTACTTCGTAGGATGAAGCAATTAGTAGGTGATATTAAGTTGGACGATAGCTTTCTTATGGAAATATGGATGAAGCGGCTTCCATCCAATGTAAAGATGATCCTTTTATCTACAGCTAATACAATTTCTTTAGAAGATTTGGCAAAAAAAGCTGATGATATATACGAAATTTCTAAAACTGAACTTGTCAATGTTTCTGCTGTCAATAGTTTTTCGGAGGTTGACAAAATTAAAAGTGACATGGAAGACATCAAAAAAATGATTAAAAATTTACAATTTGGTTGTCGCAACAAAAGTAATT